CTCATACAGGGCGCAGGAAGGTGGGCACGCGGGATTTCCAACACGCGGGCCGGACAGTGGGGCTCTGAGAGTCTAGAAGCTTCGTTCAGGCCTAAGGCGTGGTCGCCTTGGCCTTCGGACCTGAGGGTCAGGATCCGTGACTCGGGGAGCGCATGGGAAACCAGACTTCCGGAAGCACCCTACGTCTCCGCACACCCAAGTCATTCGCTCATTCTCCTTTATTAAATAAATACTCGTGGGCCAGGAGCAAGGCCCACACTGCCCCAGGTCAAACACACCCCGCCTGAAGGCCTTCCCTGGGCCTGGCCGGAGGTCTGCTCATCCCCTGCTGCTCCTGGGAGCCTCCTTCTCCCGTCCCTTCCTTACCCGTTCTCTGTTGTTTCCACAGCGTCCTTATCTCTCCCTGAAGTTCTTATTTATTAGTTTAGGGCTTTTCTTCCCTCCCACCCCACAAAGCTAGGAATCCCGTCCGTCTTGTTCACTACCTTACCCCTCCGCACCTGACATCTCCACTGCTTGCTAAATATTTGTTGAACGGAAGAAACCGCAGCAAATCAGGAAAAGGGGGATTTACAGTGAGCTGAACGCACACGGTACATTTCCTTGTGAGAGCTCACACTGGGGAGCAAACAATCCTGTGCTGATGAGTGAGGGGTGAGTGGCCAAGGAGCCGCGGAGGAAGTAAGGTGGAGGCGAAGTTTGAAAAGGAGGCGGAGCCGGCTCGGGAAAACCTGGGGACGCAGTCCGGACAGCGAAAGCCTGTGCAAAGGCCTGAAGGGACCGAGGGGTTCTTCAGCTTTCATTTCTATCAGCGCCCACTTGCAGGTCACAAGGATGGCATTCCTCCTGAGAAGCTGGCACAAGTACAAAGCACATCCGAATTCTCTCTCCGCCCTCTTCTCCCCTCCTCCCTCCCCCGTCTCTTCCTCCCCCTCCCTCCTGTGAAAGATCTATCTCCCCATTTTCTATTTTCCATCTTCTATTGGGCTCTTTATGCATGTTCTGGATTTCTCATATAAAAGAACCCAGGCAACACTTAAGCTTGTGTGTCTGACTTGGTTCACATTCTGGCCTCGGGCGGAACGGTTTTCCTACACCTGACCCGGGTTTCTCCTTCTTCGTGGCAGAGTAGTATTCCACTGTGCGTAAACGCCACGTTTCCTTTATCCATTCATCCGATGATGGACACACGGGCTGGTTCCAAGACTTGGCTATTATGACTCGTTCTGCTATAAACATGAATCTCTGTGCGCAGATCACTACATCATGAGGTCTTCACAGCCGGGCTCCGCAGCTGTGGAGGAGGAGGAGGAACAAGGAGCCTTAGAAGGGCAGAGTCTCGAACGCGCCATCATGAGAATTCTTTCCTGGTTTCTTGCTTTCTTTTAATATAAAAGGAGCAAGCTAGGCATGGTGGTGCACGCCTGTCATCCCAGCACTCGGGAGGCTGAGGCAGGAGGATCGCTGTGAGTTTGAGATCAGCCTGGGCTACACAGTGAGTTCCAGGTCAGTCGCAACTACATAATGAGACCCTGTGTCACTAAAATCGAAAATAAATAAATAAATAAATAAATGCCCAGGAAAACTAGGAGTTTCGGCATGGAGAAAATCGCTAGGCCCTCCCTCACGTAAGGGCTAAAATAAAAGTCCATCTGGCGCTTTCTTTGGTAAGAAAGGCGTTGCTGGGATGGCTTGAGTACAAACCCCAAAAGCCTGTCACTGAAAGCATAGTGCTGTGGCAATATTGGTATTTGGTCGATACATTGGGAGAGCAGAATAAGAGGTGACAGGAAACCGGGAGGTAGATTTTGTGGGACGGGAAGAGGGTTTGGAGATTGAGGGAGAGGGCGGGACCGGCAGGGGGAGGAGGAGATGTGAGTACGCAGCCATTTCCCCGGGAGAATGTACTTATTAAGTATTCCAAGCCTGTACCGATAAATAAAATGGGCGTGCAATAAATTCTGGAGTTAAAAAAACAACAATAACACTTTCATTTGGTCCATGTAAAAGACAACATCCCCAGACTTAGGAAATAAATACAAAAGTACGTGTATTTTTCGGTTTTCCTCCGGTTGCACTGAATCGGCTTTCGGCTTTGACCTTGAAGCCCTCCAGTCCCCGACCGTGCCGTGCGTACCTTGCTGTTCTCTGTCCCTTTCTTTTCCAGCCACTCGCGTCTGACTTGCACCAGAAGGGTCAGCACAGGTAACGCGCAATGTTCTCTTCCCCCGTGGAAGTTGCCGATGTATAAAGGCAGGGTGTGGAACTGGTACCAAAAAAACGAGCATGTTACGGGCCGGGGATTCACTTCGGTGGTGCTGCCGCCTGCCTCGCATATTCATTATTTTTAAAAATGAGCGCATAATTACTGACGCAGCGTGTCGCCTGCTTTCTCCCCGACATGTTCCAGCTCTTCCGCAGAACTCTCCCGTGTGTTTATTTATTCTTTTCTTTAGACAGGGTTTCACTAAGTTGTGACCCATCTACAGCTGGCTTCTTTTATTCTTAAAAGTCTCTATTTCTGACTTTATCAAAATCTTTGGGTGTTTGCTTTTCTTTGTGTTTTTGTCGTCTTCGTTGTTGATGATGATTTTTTTTTTTTTTTGTATTGTAAAGTACAGATCGTAAAGAAATTTTCTCTCTCTCTTTTTTTTCAGTACCAGTACGTCCATCATACAGGCTAAGCACCTGCTCTAACACTGACCTTCACCTCCCCTCCGAATTTACCATTTTGAAGTGAACACAAGTCAGCCACGCCTGGTGTCAAACAGGGCTGTAAGCACTCGGGAGGCTGAGGCAGGAGAATTTCTGCGAGTTCAAGTTCGAGCCCAGCCTGGGCTACATCTTGAGTTCAAGGACAACCTGAACTACATAGCAAGATCTTGTCTCTAAAAAACCCAAAGCGTAAAGAATCAAGTGAGCAACTCACTGACCTTCAATACAACTGTTACCAACTACCCGTCTCCAACACTGTGCAGTTCCTGGACTGAAATCTGTGCCCGTGAAACCCCTGGCACCCACAAATCTACTTGCTGTCGGTACAGATTTTCCACTTCTGAGCATTCCCAGTAAGTGAAATAATGGAGTAAGTGATCGTCTTGTGGCCACCACTTTGACTCTGAATAGTGTGTTTCTGAGGTTTATTGCTGTCACAGGATGAACCAGGGCTCCTTGTTTTTTATGGGAGCATGAAACCCTATCACCTTTGGACTGTGCTGTCCACATTCCTGTGTTAAACCTACACTTGCGTCTACATCTTTTCAAGCTCTAACGTGCAACCCACAGGAATGGTCTGGATCAGTCTTCTTGCTCTGTTTTTCCCGGTGCTGGGGCCAGAACCCAGAGCCTGGGGTTCGCCAGGCAGGTGCTCAGCTCTGTGCTTGGTCCCCTGCCCCAAGACTCCATCCTAAGGCATTTCAGAGACCTTAAATATCAACTCGATTCAATGAGTGATCCTCGCAAGAGATGAAACTTTCTACATGAACCGCTTCGACCTGAATCAGGTAAAAACACAAAGGAAGAGCCAGCTCACCCACAGGCACCTCCCTGGGGTATCTGTGTCTCCTTCCCTTGCTCCTCTTCTGGTGCACGGAAAGAGAGAGCTCCCCAAGAAAGACGAAGCCGGAACCCGCGTGATAGAAATAAACAGTTTCTTTTCTTCATTGCAAACGTACAAGGCCCTTTCCCAAAGCTGAGAGAGACAGTTACCCCACTGCAGACGGAAACTCCCTTGTACTCCTTTCTCTTACTCTCTCTCCCCGCTTCGGCCCTCTCCCTCCTTTCCCATAACCCCTGGGTGAGCTACTCCATGTTTAAGGCATCCACTGTTGCTGTGTGTACCCAGCGGATTTTTTTCTCTCCATTCAGAATCACATAGACAACGTCCCAGTGGTTTGCCTCGCACACAACAGATCAAAACATTAACTAAATGGACCAAACCGTTAAAGAAGACTATTATGCAAAATCTTTTTTTGGGGGGGTGGGGGGTACCTGGGATCAAACTCAAGAACTTGTGCTTTCAAGGCAGGCAGCAGAAGCGCTGAGCTAAATCCCTAACCACTAAATCTTATAACTAAAGGAAATGTGCTGTTCCAACATAAAGAAATACCCAGAACCCATTTGGTATCATACCATGACTTAAATATACGTGCCAAGAGATGAGAACCTCAAAAAAAAACCAAACCCCACACTATTTAACATTTAAATAAATAACTGCAATAAGCTGGGCATGGTGGCGCATGCCGCCTGTCATCCCAGCACTCGGGAGGCTGAGGCAGGAGGATCGCTGTGAGTTCAAGACCAGCCTGGGCTACATAATGAGTTCCAGATCAGTCTCAACTACATTATGGAATCCTGTCTCAAAAAACAAAAACAAACTGCAATAGAATTGGACCATTTGTGTCTCAAGAGGCTAGGAGACCCAGGAACATACTTATATACATGTTAGAATCATGGAAACTCTCCAAATAGCTGCATAAGAAATTAATGGGCCTTTTAGTTTGCCTGTTTGAATTATTTTAACTATGTGTATTAATTGTTTTTTTTTTTCTGATATGGGGGATTGAACTCGGGTCCTTGCACTTGCAAGGCAGGCCACCGAACCACTGAGCTAAATCCCTGGCCCCTTAATTGCTTTTAATAAGCAAATGACAGCTACTTATTAGTCACTTCACCTTGGCTACAAAGATACATAAAATAAAGCACAACGGAAAATTGTAACAGCAACAGCTCCGATCCACGTTTTAAAAGAACCACGGTGCTTAATAGAGGGACACAAAATAGGGCTCGAAAATAAATTTTAAAGACATTTCTAGGTAGGAGAACAGAATATTATAAAGGAGACATCATTCTCCTCCTGTCCCAGATAAAATGATTCCAATTACAATTACAACCTAGAATGTAGAAAAACCATTCTGAAATTCACACGGCCCAGCCAGGGTCTGGGTTGTTTTAGGATCTTCTTTTTTGTTGTTGTTATTGTTTTGATTTTTGTTTCTTCGTTTTTTTTCTTTCTTTTTCAGTATGTGTTTGAGATACACAACAGTTATAACCCTGGGGAGCGAAGCAGATACAAACACTGTGTCTTACTCATTTTTGCCTTGCTTTCCCCTCCCCACCCTCCGTCTCCCCCATCCGGGATAGGAGAATTAAAGGACCATAATTCCGGGGTTGCCTTGAGTAGCGACCCTGTTGAGGAAGCGTTAGCAGCCCCTCTGGTCTCCTCAGAAGCCAGAAGCTCGGCATCGCCTGGGGAGGGCGTAATCACCCTCTGCTAAGGAGCTTTGCTCTCAGAAATAATTTAATCAGCGTGAGGAAGGAAGGGCTGGTGTGCCGCTCACTGGGTATCAGAGGACTTGCTTCACATGAGCGACACCAGTTCTGTTCCTGGAACGGAAGAGCTGCCTCTTCTTGTAAAGATGCCTCTCAGGGTCATTGCAAAGGAAAAAAAAAAATTCTCCTAACTCCATTATTTAAAAAAAAAAGCCGGGTGCGGTGGTTCACACCTGTAATCCCAGCACTCGGGAGGCTGAGGCAGGAGGATCAAAAGTTTGAACAGTCTAGTGAGATTCTGCTTTGAAATCCCC